CACCACAGAAATTACGGTTCGGCCCACCAAAGACCGCAAATTATTTATCAGTTTAACCCACCTCGACTGCTCCATTTGGACCGTTCACTTATGATTCGGCGTTTTGATGACCGTTACTTATCATCCGAATGGCAGTTTCCTTCCTGTTTTACTCTCCGTAAGGTTTAAAAGCATTTAGCATTAACTTGAACCACAGCTATCGATGGTTTTCCTCTCTTGGAATTGCTTAGAAGCAAGCTGATGGCAATTTTGACTCTGGCATGAGCTAATACTATTTTATCACAGGAACGAATGAACTTTTCAGACTTGATCAAGTGTTTCAGGCATTCGGATCTTTACGAAAGGTACGAGGATTTCTGGGCAAAATTCGGTATCTTTGCCCACTACTTAAAGTTCCTGACACATTCAGTGGCTGCTGCATCAATTGCTGTTGGTTTATTCATATACTTTTCCAGGTATAACACATATTATAAGATTTCGTGATTTTGGAAAAATAAGATGGATTTTATCGTGATTTATCGACAGACTTGGAATTGCCTTTGCTTACTCGCCTACATTTTGCTGGAACTTTGCCAGTTTTCAGCCTTTTGTTCCTTTTTCCCCAGGTTCGCCTTCTTCCTTCTCACCAACTGGTGGTTTTCTTGACCAAAACCCTTGGCAGGGCTTTTGTTGAAGACGAAGAATTGTTACTGGCCGAGAGGGAATCGAACCATTTCTTTTCACATTCGGACGCAACCACTGACCTCTGTGTTTCACCACATCAACTGGAGCAAGCATCTGATTTATATTTATACAAGCACATATTTTGAACTATCATATTTGGCAAATTACCAGCCTTTTTCGCGGGACTTCGAGAGCCTTAGCCGTTTCGAAGTGACGAAATGATGTTTACTGGGGCATCGCTACCTTATTCAAACTTTTCAATTTAAGGTAGCGGTCGTCGTTGCAACAGAGGAAGCAATCAAACGATTTCAAAAGTACAAAGAAATCGTGGTTTCTATTGTCGCAGTTTGGCAAAATCATGATTTTTGATACTGATTTTCAGTCGTATCAGCACCTCGTGTGCCATTTGCTTTCTTTCAGTTGTAAATATTGACGATTGTAC